AGGGGGGGTACTGTCACAGTATCCTCCCTAGATCCTAGACATAACTGTATTAGACGTGTACTAGAGTATTATTAGTGCATGTCTAACATAAATATAACATAACATAGACATAAACTTAAGCATAAACTACCTTAACACTAACTAAACATAAAATAGGCTTAATTTATACTTAAAGCACTTAGACTTTTAAGCTAAGTATTTAATTACTAATTTCTTTTTAAACCTTCCTGTTCCTCACACAACGTCTTGTACCTACTATAATACCTTACATAGTAATTAAACTAGACCTCTGTGAAGCTCTATAACCTTACTCGTGCACAATCGTGACACTTGCTAAAGTTGTACATGTTATTATCCTAGATGCTATACTTAGCTTTAATATTCTCTACAAGGCTAAACCTGCCCGAAATTACCCTAGAACTCTTATAGAGGGCTCTCTTATAGTTGTACTACGCGTAAATGTTACTTTAAGGTCTAAATAACGCTTCTTAAACATACTAGGCTAGTTTATGCTAACATAGCCTAGATTACGCTTAGCGTGCAAAGAATTAGCTATATTAGCTATAAATGCTATCTAAGGGGAAAATCCTTACGCATATAGCTTAAGTATAGTCTTAATAATCACCTGCTCCTTCTTATTACCTAGCCTTTATTAGTTAGCTGTAGAATTAGCTTATAAAGGTTGTCTAACACTATAGTTATTTATTATCTTTTAAAGGACTTTGTATATAGCTGCAGCACGTTTCTTTAACAGTTTTATGTCTTATTTAAAAGCCTAGAGCGTAAGCTGTATCTAACGTTCTTTTAGCGCGTCTAAGTAGTGTTGTTAGGAATGCATTAGTGTAGGAAGAGTAGTTTAGTAGGGTCTTAGCAAAAGAAAGCGACTTAGGTGTGTGAGCAACTCGCCCGTGAAGTACGTTAGTGGTTATGTCCTATTAAACTGGGGGTGGAAGTGGGGGTGGAAGTGGTGGCATCGGCGGTGGAGGTGGCCCTACTACACCAGGTAGTGGCCCGCCAGCCATTGGAGGTGGGCCTTGTAGAGGTATAGCTGGCAGGTCCTTCATATATGGATTCCTCGCAACCTTGAAAAATGGCTCGTCGAAGATCTGACCAATTCCAATGGAGAAAATTGCCGAGCAAGCGACAATGAACCACTGTAGAATTTGGTTCGGCTTTCCGGCAGTAATGCTTGATATTGTGGGCAGTCCCTTGCCAGTCAAAAAGAGGTTGTCAGGGTTCCGTAGCGTTTCTGATGTTTGGCCTTCAATCGCCTGAAGTGTGAATTGTATACCAGCTGCAGTCTGTGCTACCGCCATTGCCGAAGCCAAAGCCAGCCCCAAGGATATGTAGAAAGACACAGTGGCACCTTTTCGATATCTCTCCGTTCTTTCTGGGCTCAGCTTCTTGTTGCTCATTCCTCGGATGACTTGGTCGCCCACTCTTACGTCTCTTTGGAGCATGACGAAAAAGAAAACGCCCAGGGCAAAGATGGCACCAGCGCCGGCCAACAGTGGAGGGAATATGTTCCCTTGTAGAGTCATTGCGAATTCAATGAGGCCCTCGGACACATTAACGCTGGGAAGAGGAGTGGTAGTGTTCCGAAACTTGGACGCTAAATCTGACGCTTTCATTCCATGGGTCGTGGAACAAACAAAGCCAGATGAACTGTTGATGCAAATACCTTCTCTAGTATTAGCCTTCAGTGACAGGGTATCAATATCACCGAACTCACCAAAATAGCCTACGCGAAGATCAGTCGATGTAGGTGGATTGGTAGCAGGCAGATGGAGATTCAAAAAATGTAGATTCGGAAGCCCAGGGGAGTTTGTAACACATCCCGTCAAGACTAGTGCTGGTTGAATGTTAGTAACATTTTCTCTGGAGCCCAATAATGACTCACTGTAGAATGTAGTGATGGGGACTATGAGGAAATAAGCGAAAAAACGCCAATTCACGTCTCCTGTAGGCCGTCAGCTTCTAAAGTAAAGATCCATTCGAGGGAACTTACAAAACTTCTGAGAGAATGGCATATTCACGACTGTGTGCTCAATAATGCCGTAACGTAGCTGTAGAGAAGGCTGGTTCTGTCTTGTTTCGTTCAAGAGTGTTTCCTTGTTGTACTTAAGTACTTCATAGCTACTCATAGCTATGATCCCCAAGTTATGTTATGTGACCTGTTTCAAGCGGATTGCTGCTTAAAATGGACAATAGGCTAGCATTTTCCGCCCTTTGAAGAGGCTGTACGGTTTCAGAAAGTCACTCCACCGTACACTCACCATCCTTTTCGGAGCAACTCCATTCACGTATTTCTCGGGGAAGCCGAGCACCTAGAGGAAACTGCCTTGGAATCAGCCCCATTCGGCTCAAATGGAGGGATGAACAAGACGCCAAATGCAAAACATGGTTGCTTGTATCCTCTAGTGTGGCGCCGCGGTGCAGCTAGTTCCTCTAGATGGATGTAGGCTGGGCGGTTGATATGAATCGATTGGAGAAGAGCAAACTTCATTACCTTCGATCCCCAAAAATCTTGAAGATGTGAAGAGATTTTGGAGGTGGCGTGGTTGTTCTGTTTCCATTCGACCAGGTGCATGGACAATAAGACGGCCAAATGTACCTCGACATCCACTGACGCCTGAGCGGTAAGTGAGCCAACGATATCATTCCCACCTTGGACCAAAATACCGCATGGACAGAAAATAGTTGTTTCATGTTTTTGATGCGACAGCTACGCCTCAGCGCGAGATATCAAAGAGGAAAGGCTTAGGGTGCTGTGCCACTGGGAGATCATCTCAATCTGTCTTTAGCGATAAAAGCCCGACTGTGCCGCTTGCTGATGGCGACTCGCCGGTACCGCGCGCGAATGCTGCCCCTGGCTTTTCTCAAAGCCACATACCTAACGTAGAATCAATTACCGAGCCCTTGGCTAGGAGAAGATTGACGTGTTCTGGGATAAGGTATATAAAAGGAACGTTGAAATCGCAATGGAGCCAAAATGCAGAATCAACCAACCCTTTGTTAAATCTAAATCTCTTCCAAGGCATCTTTGGATATTTCCTAACTCATCAATCCACACCACTCATTGCTATAGTAGAGGCTCTATTAACCGGCATTCCGCAGCTTCTGAGAGTACGCATCCCTCAAAAAACCTGCTACAAGAATATTAACTCCTCAAAGCCATCGATATCAGTTTCCCCTTTGTTTGTTTAGAGAACGAGCTGCTGAGTTCTTCCACGATGTCTGGATATCAGGGATACCCTTCATCCACTGCCTCGTACTCCTACTCGTACCCCGAAACATCGAATACCAGTACAGCTAGCGCCAACTCCACAGCTCAATATTCGGCCGCGGCACATAGTACGGCAGGACCAGCCCATTCAGGGTACGGATACAGTCAGTACCCTGCCTATTCGAACGTTGCAGCATCATCGCCGTATTTCAATGTCGCTACTACCCAAGCAACGACGCAGAGTCCATATTCTCATCTGACCAGTCAGTATGCAACTACATCAGCGTACTCCAATGTCACCACTACTCCAGCAACGACACAGCCTTCGTATTATTCAACCAGCCAATACGCAACCACGCCCGTGTATGGGACGGCCTCAACACATCCTTCTTCCACATCCTCGCCTTATACCCAGAGCTTGTACCCTAAAAGCAGCACTACGGCACCAACAGCCACTGGAGCGAAGTCCTCAGTCGCTGCTCTGACCTCACGTTTCGGGCAGCCGGCTCAGTCAGCTCAGGCAAGATCGACGATGATTCAAACAGCCGCGCGGGATCGTGAGATCTATATTCTGTCCTACCCGAGCGGGACTTTCAAATCCCACTGGGCGTTATGGATTCCCCGGAAGGACGCTAATCTACAAAGCTTGCCTGAGCAGAAAAAAGGACCCCAGGGGATGCTGATCCATGTCAAAGGTAGTCTCGCAGCAGGCTTCAAACATGAGTTTCAGCGCGCCAGCTATGGTCCTCAGAGCTTTGAACGCCCGTGGTACAAGGTGCTTGGAAGAATCCGCGAAGAACATCTTACGGATGGTCCCACTACAGGAACGGATAGCACGGCTTATAATACCGTGGAGACTTTGGCATTGAGCATTCCGGCTCCTGGTCCGAGTTTGAACTCTGCAATGAGTCCGGTGAGATTTCTTCATTCGCGGGATTCGGAATTTAGCTCATTATTTATAGGCCTCGGGTTTACGCCCAGAGATTCGCGATTGTCAGTGGTGGCTGAAACAACTGATCGACCAGTTAATTCAGCGCCAAATGCTCCATCCAGACGCATCGAAGATTGTTGCAGAAACCCCGATCCAGTGGGCTTAGAACCACAGTAATACGTTAAAGGTTTGGGTACTATGTTCCTCATCCTGGGGTAACACCATGGACTCAAACTTATGGCCATCCACTGTAGTAAAGGAGCAGGCGCGGGGTATCCTTTTGTTATCGCTCCCTCTTTCGTTTCAGTCTGTCCTCTATTCCTCCTTCATTTTGTTATGCAACATGTTTCTCTCTGTTTGGTCTATGCGTTTTTCTGTTAGCACTCTCATTGGTTTATGGTTTAAAGAATGCTCGTCATTTCTCAGCATAATATTCTTTAATGACCCCTGAGGAGAACAGTAAATGATACCAAATACATATGCTCAAAATCTGCCTATTCTTTCAAGAAAAAAGTGCCATTGCCAATACCACTGATTCAGGGCCTCCCCAAATATATGCGGCACCGCAAATAGCTTCCACTCGTTTCTATATTCACCAATGAGGCGAGCCTTGCAGTACTCCCAGTATTCCGGATACCAACCAGATTGCCCCCAATCTAAGAGGGCTAGAATTCTTGGGGCGTTCACATCCGGAGAAACCATGATGTTTCCCCTATGTATGTCTGCATGGGTGAAGCGTATTGAGACATGATCCGGCAGCCAATGCCGATATTCTGGTGCCATGCCAGGGGGTAGGTCGATAGTGCTGAACCAATCGTGGAATTGTTTCACGGTTTTGAAGGGGCCAGGAGTCTGACCGTCCGAAAGGTCTTGGAAGAGATGATCGGTCATCATTTCTCTCGTAACAGATCCTAATAGGAAACACGAGTCAGAAAGCCCAAGTAAACGTGAGGTACTCTGTAGTGTGAAGTGATTCATACCAACGACCTCTGAATGATCTTGTTTGAGGTGGCCCAAATTCTCCACGATGCGACGGATATCCTCGCACAAAAGCGCTTTCTGCTCGGGACCGATATGCGACCATAATTCGTCGAGAGGGACTCCGCTGATCAACTGCATATATAAAAATACGTCATCACCGTCTTTATCCCATCCATAAACTTCAGGAACTGGGACACTTGATGCAAGATAGTACTTGACGAGACGCATGCATTGACCTTCCGATGACTTCACCCGCGGGCCGTACTTGACGAAAAGATTCTGCCGTGGGAATGCGACGGTGCTTGCAATACACGGGTTTTCGCTCCGGAGTGTTGTCGCAGCGCGTACCTCGCGGGGCGTTGGCAGCCTGCTATTTGCCAAGAACCAGGACGTGTCCTTGAAGACCGCGGGATTCGTATGTAAAAAGGGTCGCTGATCAACAACGATCGCCATCCTGAAAGATCTAGAGAGTATAAGAAGAAGCCTTGAGAGAAGCGCTACCAAAAAGCGGGGTGTTTATGCGCAGCATGAGAGAAATGCGGCACAGGCTTTAAGAGCGCGAAGCGAGGCATGAGGCGCGTGGGACCCTGTGTGGTCAGGTGATCAATTGTCAACCCCCGGGCCCATTTAATGAAAACCTGACCGGCACCTACAATAGCTATTATTACGAGATATTGTGGTGAAGTAGTAAACAGGGCAATTAAATTAATTTGTATCATTTAGAAGTCATGCTAGAAGCTTAACAGTACGGATTTTAGTGTTCTTTGTTAGAGATGGTGTGCAAGCCGCCTGTCACGGCCAGCGATCTAGGACGTAAAACTGCCTTGAATTGGGCTCTATTGAAAAGATTCTACTCTAATGGGGAAAAGGAAAGGAAGTTCAGCCGTACCTCGGCTGCAGAAAAGAGGCTCATGCTTGGACCGTGCTCCATTACGTTATGGCGCTCCACTACGTGACAGTTTGTTACATAGACATAAGGAAGTGTCAGTCGTCACATTACCCCCTGCTAAACCACGTATATCGGTGTAGCCGACTATACGCGGTTTTCTTACGTATGTCGTCGTAGTCGTTTACGACGGGCATTTAGCTCGTCATGACGTGCTACGTTGTCATTGTCAGATTGTAGGGCCGCCCATAGAAACATGTACAGTATCAAGAGGCCGAGAGTGGCTGGAAGATCACGTGGCCAGAGCGCATGATAAAACCTGCGCGCAGGGGCCTCGCCGGACAGGAAGAACACACAACAATATACAATCATCATCTTATCATCAATCATCCATCAGTCAATCTGGACAGTCTCGAGAGAGCTTAAATCTGACAATTATATGCGACAATGATTATGTGGGACGTGTAGGGCGACTTTGATCGAAGGTACTGACTAAGTTAGCAGGTTAACGTGTTCCACCACTCATCCGCCAACACCAGTCATCCGCCAGCCCCACCAAAATCGACGCGTCTCTATCCACCAACATGCCTCTACCACCACCAAAACAGCTTGAATTAAAGCAAAAAGAAGGCAGACTAGTGCTAGCTGCCTCTGTCCTTTAAAATTATAAAAATCTGTCTATTTATTGCGTCTTAACCCTGTACAACACGCCTTAATTAACGCTCTGTAATTGCCTCACAGGCGCCCTCCTATAAGCTGCTGCTAATGCAAAGAAACAAAAGCTATTACCTATTAAAGAGTAGTCCCTTGTTTACTAGATCCTAGACCTTAACTAACAAGGGTTTCTGCCCTATATTATTAATATGCGTTAAATGGCAGTGTTACAATCCTTGCTTCGTGGAAGCACTCGGGTCAATGATATTCCTAGGGGAGGAGTAGGACGGGTGATAGAGGCCAACGGCAGGGTGTACAGTCCTACGTAAAGGCTATTGGGCTACTGGAGAAGGGGAGAGTGACCAGATCGTGGTTTGCCCTGTGTGCGGCAGTATGGTGGCCGGGTCAAACGGTCCTGTTGGACAGGGTTGGAGGTATATATGGTGCAAGATATACAAATAGTATTACAGCTCTTTGGAAAGCTAAATGCTACTCAGTCTATGTAGAGAATAAACTAAACGTTGAACACGCTTCCTAAAGGTTGTTCAATGTGGGGACTATATACACGTACGGAGGGTGCCAAGGCGAGCAGGACGAGTTCATGCGAGCCCGCCAAGGAGAGCTCCATGAGCTCTCTTGGGCTCGTTGGACTCGTGGCCTATTCTCCTATTGGACGACGCACTCCTCCATTACCGCAGGCAGTGGTGCTGCCTCCGTGTCCTCCGACTGGTTCATAAGCGAGCCCTGCTCCAACCTGGCTAGACTGTGGAGCACGACTGGTGGAGTTACGCTGGTCCAACCGTAGACCGTAACAGGCAGACGTTCTGCTCTAAGCTTGCAGCCAGGATCCCCCGCTAAAGCCTATAGGCAAGAACTGGGTGTTACGCTTTGTTAATACTTAGGCAGAGCTCTAGATAATGTAGGATAGGAAGCTGCACTCCTAGCGCGCTCTCTGTCAGGATCTATTTAAGTTTAGCGCCTAGTTTAAGCTTATAGATGACACGCGCTGCGCGTATAGAATACTAGATAAAGATACCTATAATTTTAATAAGATGGGATTTATAATAGGAGTTGCTAGCACGTCTAAGGTTGTAACTAGCTCTAACACTGTTAGTTGAGCGGTTGCTGTACAGCCTAGCAATTGCAACTAGGTTACAATAATTAAGTGTGTTAACACGTCTAGCTAGGCGCTCCCACTGCTTATTATCCTACCAGGCAAGCTGCATTAGGCTAGCTAGTATTGCAATATCCCTAGCAACTAGACACTTATAGTGAGCAACAACAGCTAGACAACTAACTAGCTTAGTCTGTCCTAGCTTAAGCACTTTAACAATTAAACTGCGTCGCGTACAACTAGGGTCTACCGCCTGCTTATACTAGACAGCTATAGCAGCCATGCGACGCCTAAGTTTAATTAATACTGTATAGAGAACAAGATTATCAGTCTCTGTATGCTAGCTTACAGCTCCCACCTGCTACAGCCTCTAGATGTTAGCTGCTTTGCGCTGCTTAAGTAAGCGTACAGACGCAAAGTAGCAGAGCTTACATATAGTTACATCTTCTACATTAACAAGCAGGACTTTCTTAGCATCTACAAGAGTATTAGGCCTACTCTATTTACAGAGTAGAGCATTAAGAGTGGGTTTTAAGCAACAGGTCTAGTCCTATACTATCCTAATTATGTCTTGTTATTGCTTCTTGTTGTCTGAACGCTGTCTCTACTAGCGCAAGAAGCTAACAGTAAGAGGCGCTAGACTGTAGGGACGCCTTATACAGTTGCCTAGCTTTAGCAGCAGGCTTAACTACTCTGTAACTGTCTTAGTTGTTAATTGTAGAGCCCTATAAGCTAGGCCCTTACTTAGCTTGTTAAAGGATGTCAGATAGTAATAAATTCTGCAACACTCCTTATAGAGGAGAACACTAAGCTTTGTTAGGCAAACTATTGCTAAGAGCAGAAGAGGCAACAGAGGCGGCAGTATATTGCTACAGGAGGGACTCTCACAGGCCAGGAAGGTCAGAGGCTAGCTGCAGAGGCTGATAGGTTGGTTGAGGTGAATGCGCAGGCTGAGGCATCGCAGGTCTATCAGCGAGCACCACCAACCTGCTCGAAGTGCCACGTGCAAGGCCACAGGAGGACTTAATGTAGAAGCAATTAGGAATATTTTGTATATATATTTGTATAGAATTAATTTAGTTGTTGTTTAGCTATCTGTCAAAAAGGCGCGTCGATATTGGTGGGATGACTGGTGTTGGCGGATGAGTGGTGGAACACGTTATCGTCTATTTCTGCTGGTTCTAAAAGTGTCCCCTCGATAAAAATAGAGTTTGGCAGCCTTGGCGTTTAGGTACCCGAAACGGGAACTACGACATCAGAACTTGGACTAGGAGTCTTATCGACTCAAAACACCACCAGCCCGCTGTTTCTGCGAAGCAAAAGTACCAGATGTTTCACACGCTTGAACTATCGGGCGAATCAACGAGTAGATCTAATACGAACGAGCGAATATATCCCTAGTCGTGCCCAATAGTCCTAGAACTCAAATGGAAGGTTCAGAAGAGGCAAAGGAAGGCAATGCGTATACAGAAGCTCGCTATCCTTCAAGCGTATAGGTGACTTGCTTGAGGAGGAGTGAATGAATACATAGAGGCGGAACGAGTGCGTCCTAAGGCAATAGTCATTACATTAGTTTTAAACTAACTATAGCCCGCAAATCGCAGGTAACATGCATATACAAAAGGTCTCATAAGAGCTTCAAGTTAGATCTTCGAGAAAGGTTTCCCGAGCTTAACCTCCTATGTTAATATCACAGTGTAACAGGTGTTGGGTACGCGACTATAGCCTCCTTGTAATAATAATAAACTTATGAGGATACCTGTCCGGGGCAGTAAATCTGACTGGCACAGTTCGACTGGGAGACAAAGACTAGGACGCCTGTCCGGGGCGACAAAGACTGGGACGTCAGTCCGGGGCGACAAATCAGACTAGGACGATTCTCCTAGGAGAAAAATACGGGGACGCCAGTCCGGGGCGACAAATCAGACTGGGACGATTCTCCTAGGAGAAAAATACGGGGACGCTAGTCCGGGGCGACAAAGACTAGGACGTCTGTCCAGGGCGACAAATCTGACCGGGATTAATAATTAATTGATTGATTGATTGATTGATTGATTGATTGGTTCATAGCTGTCCCAGCCACCCTAGCGGCGGCTATGCAGCGTACAACTATAAATACAGGCACCCCTCCCCACTTTCGGGCTCAAACTGTTCCCTTCTGCCAAAGGCGACGTCCCTCCCTTAAGTGGCGAATTGAGGTCTGAGTTTGTAGTTCTAATAGCTGTTCTGTATCAGAATCTGACTTGTCAGGCCTTTCCTGGCCCTCCTCATCTTCTGTTTAACAATATGCACTCGTCCACGTTATTGCATATTTCGTACCGTAGACGAGACCGCCTAGAATTGTCCAAGCAGTCCTGTCCTTAACATTATCTTGGCTGCTTGTACTACTATTAACATATTACACAGGACTTTCTTAACGTCTGCGCATGGTTGCTTGCCTGCCCACATCTCTTGTTGCTTCTCTATCTAGTTCTAGCATTCTAGGATTACGTGTTGCACGGTCTATTTTCTAAGTCTGCATTAGCATTTGTTAGTATCTACTTTGTTAATAGAGTAGAGATATGCGCGTAGGCTAATCTTGCTAGTGCGCATTTGCGTAATAACTAAGCTAATTGCTCTAGAAGTTCTAATGTGCAATTTAAGAATTCCTTTGCCTAGCTTTACGCCTAGCCTGTGCAGTAGTCTGCTGTGCCTAGCCTCCTGCTACAACACCTCCTATTCCTTTCTCATCCTCTCTTAGATAGCAGGTTTTATGGTTGCTGTTAGGATTTAGAGTGAGTCTAGCTTAGCTAGTAATTCCTAGCTTAAGGTTTAGCTAGTAGCTTCCTTAGCTGCTTTGTTAGCAAAGTTGTTGCTACGTATGTACTTATGTGCTAGAATCTATTAGATCTAGACCTTCTATCCTTGCTGTTAGAGCTTGTCTAGTGCTTGTATAGCTGCAATAAGGATGTATTGTCCTAACTAGGTCTTAGGGTTTGCTATTGCTTAGATAGCAGCTTAGTTGTCTAAGAAGACAATGCAGCAGCTAGGGCTGTTTATTAATGCATATGTATCTAATGCAATTGTCGCGTATACTGAGAGCCTTGGCTGGGGCTCGGAGCCTGGGACTGGGGCTCAGAGCCTGGGACGCAGCTCGGGATCTGGAGATATTATGTTCCGAAGCTCGGTGTATATAAGGAGAGCCTTCAGCTCTCTTAGATAGGAGAGTCACTTCATCCGATCTTCTGAACAGCTACTGCCAGGCTATTTTATCCTCCACAGCAATTTTAAATGCAATTTTTATTCCTCTAAGCTCTACTGCGTAGATGTTTAAGGTAGTTAATTTGCCTATATATTTTATTCTCTTTATGCTATATTCCTTAAGCATCTAGTCTAATACGATTACAGCTGCGCCTACATAGCTGTTAATAGCACTTGCGTTAGCATATATACATAGTGCTTCTTTCTCTAAGGCGTTATGCTCTTTGATTACAGCATCTTTAGTCTCTACAATGTGTGTGGGAGGCGGTGTCTACTATAGTAGGACAACGTATTAGCCACGTTTCTCTAGATAGTAGAGCTGCGAGTTGTATTTGTTTGCTAGCGTGTTAGAGAGCTAGGATAGTGGGCTGTTAACCTAGTTGCTCTGTGCTGTAACAATGTCCTTATATAGCAGGCTAGTTCTAATGCGCATTAGAGCCTTAAGTGTTGTTTACTTAAGTCTCTGTTATGCTAGGAGTAAATGTGCTTCTACGTCTATAGCTACTCTAGTAGTTGTCTTAAAGGCCCTAGTAATAATTTACGCTGCACGTTTCTAAATCTAAGAAATTGCATTTACTATAGCGGTGCCTCTTTTGCCTAGCTTATACTAGGCAGAGCATCTGTATAGCATTTAGGGCACAATTATTATTGTGTATACCTTTCTTAGGTTTACTAAGCCTGTGCCTCACGTTAATAATGCTAGTGTGGAAAGGGCTAAGAGCTGTTCTATAGCTTTTGCCTCTACCTTCTCTTAGTAGTAGTTCTATTCGAGTTTAGAGTTTATCTAGATGCCTAGATATTAGCATAAAGGTGAGACTTTAATAGTGGCCTGCAGTAGGTAGAGGGCGTGTGTAACGCTTATTATTAGGTCTTTTTGTCAGATATGCGCACCTACTGTCAAGACAGGAGGAACGCTTGACAAAAGCTGCTACATAGTACGAGCAATAAGCTCGAACAGTATGTTGCTGCAAATTGCTGCATGTTGCAGCAAATTACAGCATTTTGCAGCATTTTGCAGCATGTTGCAGCATTTTACAGCATTTTGCAGCATGTTGCAGCATTTTGCAGCATTTTGCAGGCCGGTCGCGCATAGGGCAAGTGCGCGAGGGACTCGGATCGGCAAAACAAAAAGCCGAGCAACACAAGTAGAGCAGAAAAAGAATCGAAAATCAATACAATCAATCATGATCCCATACATCATATCCAAACCCATCATTCATCTCAGGAAGCCTAGAAACAGTGCTTCAATCTGACACTTTTATAAAGTGTATAAGTTTGTACTTTGCTAGTGCAAATGATAACCTATGTTAGTTTGCCTACTTTTAAGCTTTTTAGTAGATAGCTTTTAGAGTCTTGCAGTTGTGTTAGGATGTTAGGCCTATTGCTAGGATAAAGGCGTTGTTAATATATTGTGAAGCTATGTGAGGCACCAGAGACATGAGGAACTGCACTGAATGTATTGCTAGAGGAGTCCTTTGCAGGAGTCTATATATATACGAAATAAGTGGATGAGTCTTGGCAACAGACTGTGCTGAGATGCATACGATTATGGTGCCGACGCATTCCATCATCGTGTGACGAAACATCCGACTATCGTGCGACTATGGTGACGACGCATCCTCGTGTCACCACTGCAAACATATATTCTATAGCTTCTATTTTCTCTATCTTACATGGTTCTATAAGGTTAGCGTTGTAGAACAAGTATAGAATTAAGAAGAGTAAGGATCTCTATAAGATTCCAGTCTAAATTAGCGCTAATAGTGCTGTATATTCTTATATTTTAAGCGTTGTTAATTGCTTGCTTATAAACAAGTCTATCTATTATACTAGCGTTTAATAGACTTAGCGTTTTCTAAAATTATGTAGTAGTTGTAGCCTTAAGACATTGTTAAACGCTTCTAACACGTCTAGAAGAAGGAGTAATGCTACTTTCCTCTCTGCCTACGCGTTATAAATTTGTTAGATAAGTAGGTGCATAGTGTAGTCTTGTCAGATATGCGCACCTACTGTTAAGACAGGAGGAACGCTTGACGAAAGCTGCTACATAGTACAAGCAATAAGCTCGAACAGTATGTTGCTGCATGTTGCAGCAAATTGCAGCAAATTGCAGCATTTTGCAGCATGTTGCAGCATGTTGCAGCAAATTGCAGCATTTTGCAGCATGTTGCAGCATGTTGCAGCAAATTGCAGCATTTTGCAGCATGTTGCAGCATGTTGCAGCATGTTGCAGCAAATTGCAGCATGTTGCAAGCTGGTCGCGCATAGGGCAAGTGCGCGAGGGACTCGGATCGGCAAAACAAAAAGCCGAGCAACACGAGTAGAGCAGAAAAAGGATCGATAAATAAACACAATGAATCATCATCCCATACATTATATCCAAACCCATCATTCATCTCAGGAAGCCTAGAAGCAGTGCTTCAATCTAACAAGTCTATAGAGGTAGGTTCTAGGCGACCCGAGATGAAACAATTCATTAGTGTTGTTACAATAGTTAGTAAATATCTAGCCTATTATAAAGCCTATTTTATTAAAGTTATATATGTTATTATTTAAAATACTATACTTAGCTTAAATATTTTTTATAAGGCTAAACTAGCTTTAAATTACTCTAAGATTTTTATAAAAGCTTTTTTATAGTTATAGTTATACTTAAACTTTACTTTAAGCTTTAAATAATACTTTATAAACATACTACGCTAGTTTATACTAATATAGCCTAGATTATGCTTAGCGTGTAAAATATTAGCTATATTAGCTATAGCTACTAGCGAAAAGAAAAATCCTTACACATATAGCTAAAGTATATGCTTAATAATTACTTACTTTTTATTATTATTTAGCCTTTATAAGTTAGCTATAAAATTAGCTTATAAAAGTTATTTAGTGTGTTAGTTATTTATTATTTTTTAATTGACTTTATACATAGCTATAGTATATTACTTTAAAAGTATTACATTTTATTTAAAAGTCTAAAGTGTAAGCTATATTTAACTTTTTTTAGCATGTCTAAATAGTGTTGTTAGGAATGCATTAGTGTAAAAAAAAGTAGTTTAGTAGAGTCTTAGTAAAAGTATGTAACCTAGGTGTATAAGCAACTCGCCTGTTATGTACAGTCGCCTACTAAAAGTCATTAGCCACTCAACGACCTAAGCTCTGCAGGGGTATAGTTAGCCTATTTAGGAAAGAGGTTACTTAACTAATTGCTACCTAAATTAAAAGATTTTTATTTCTATAAGAAGCCTATGTTAAGGCCTATCTTCTAGTGTTATAGTTAATTAATAGTAAGTTAACTTGCCTTTATTTTAGATAACTTCCTATATGCGCTTTAACTAGCTTAGAATACTCTTTCTATAATTAGCTAGTGTAATCTTTGCCTATTTCTTTTTAAGAATATCTACTATCTGCTTATAAGTAGTAATATATTCTTATTACTTTAAAATGTAGAGCTTTATAATTTACTAAAAGTTTTTAATTAAGTTTAAATTAAAACTTTATAACGTACTTTACAGGCAAGTTGCTTACACACCTAAGTTGCTTACTTTTGCTAAGACCCTACTAAACTACCCTTTCTACACTAATGCATTCCCTATAACACTACTTAGACGTGCTAAAAGAATGTTAGATACAGCTTACACTCTAAGCTTTTAAATAAGACATAAAACTCTTAAAGAAACATGCTATAGCTATATGTAAAGTCTTATAAAAGACAATAAATAACTATAGCGCTAGATAACTTTTATAAGCTAATTCTACAGCTAAATTATAAAGGCTAGGCAATAAAAAGAAGCAGGTAATTGTTAAGACTATACTTAAGCTATATGCGCAAGGAATTTCCCATTAGATAGCATTTATAGCTAATATAGCTAATTCTTTGCGCGCTAAGCGTAATCTAGGCTATGTTTATATAAACTAGCCTAGTATGTTTGTAAAGCGTTATTTAGAGCTTAAAGTAACATTTAAGTGTAAGTATAACTATAAAAAAGCTTTTTATAAGAGTTCTAGAGTAATTTAGAGCAGGTTTAGCCTTATAGAGAATATTAAAGCTAAGTATAGTATCTAGAATAATAACATGTACAACTTTAGCAAAATAAGGTTTATAATTAGCTAAATATCTCTTAACTATACTTATACTTAAAACTTTACTTTAAGCTCTAAATAACACTTTATAAACATACTAGGCTAGTTTATGTAAACATAGCCTAAATTATGCTTAGCGCGTAAAGAATTAGCTATATTAGCTATAAATGCTATCTAAGAGGAAATTCCTTACGCATATAGCTTAAGTATAGTTTTAATAATTACCTGCTTTTTTTTATTACCTAGCCTTTATAATTTAGCTGCAGAATTAGCTTGTAAAGGTTGTCTAGTGCTATAGTTATTTATTATTTTTTATAAGACTTTGCACATAGCTGTAGCATGTTTTTTAAGAGTTTTATATCTTATTTAAAAGCTTAGAGTGT